GGGGGGGGGACGGTTCTGAGAATATATACACAAGCCAAATGTTACATTTTCCCATGCTAGCTAGAGGCTTTACATAAGGAGAGCAGTAATTAATCGCTACGATACGGGATGATGACTTCTCGATCATGATCTCGTTACAATTCAAAACCATAAAATCGTCTGCACTGCGGCAGTACGTATGAGAAAAAAAAAAAAAAACAGGTAGAAAAAGTGGTAGAGAACGAACAATGATGATTGATAATGATGACAAAAAAAAAAGTTAATAAATAAACGACAAAAACTTATCTGTGCATCGGCGCAAAACATCAGGAATGGAAAATAAAATAAAGTAAATGAAACAAAACAAAAAAAATAAATTGATTAAAAATGGTTCTACAAAATCTACGAATACGCACCTGCTACAGAGACCCGGTCTAGTTTCGTTCCGGTATTTTGACGTCCAGACCGTAAATCGTACTCTCCAGAGTGACATCCTTTTATCTAAGTCCCGGCCCGCAGAGTACTCAAATCAAAGCGAAACAAAACGACAACGCAGATATCGAAAAACTGATAACAATGGTTGGTTAAAAAACACAAATGGCGTGCGAGGACATATTAATGATGCAAACCATGTACGCATTCTTGATTTCATACAAGGGTACCCCCTACATATGCGATTGACTATGTAACAAATAAAGAAATAGGAACACAAAGAGAGAGAGAGAGAGAGAGACACACACACACACAGAATGTGATAAGGATTATAAATCCATGGTACACAAAAAAAAAAAACCGATACAGAATCGAGTAACAACCAGGAACGACCATGTTCAGTTAAAAAATAATTTATTCATTCGCTCGTTAAAGTCTCAAGGCACTACTTATATTAAATAATCCAGCTTTCGTAACAACTAGTCGACGAAGTTCGGAAATATCGTACCACATACAATCGAATGATAACAGGACATTTTTATTCGTTTATCCTACGCTTTCACATCTGGATAGAAAGTTCGACGTTTTAGAACGCAGTTGGAGATTAATAAAGAGAGATAAAAATGGGATACAAGGTGTCCCGAACAAGAATAAGAAAGTCTTTTTTTCTTAAACGCATGCTCTCGAGATCTTTTTTTTTTTTTAAATATATAGTCATTCGTTGCACAAATGACAATAGTTTTAAAATAATAACATACATATATGCAAATAAATACATACAACGAATTGCACGAATTACATCCTTAACAAGTACGTAATACTTTTCGAAGAAGAGAAATGTTAAAACACTGAAGAAACTTCGAGACACCTCACATCGTGTTAAAAATAGGATCGAGTGTGATCCTACGCCAGATGAAATGTTTCTTTTCTTTATAAAAAATGAGGGGAATATGTAAAATTAAACTCGTGTTAATTATAGTAAATAAAAAGAAGCGAATGTAAATTGATGTAAAGCGATGACTCGAG